AGGGAGGAACTGCCCCTTTCAAAGCACTCTTGTCCACAGCCTTAAGTCGTACCTCTTGATTCCTTTAGAGCCTAAACTCAAGCTTTAGCACCACTGAGAAATAAAGATTTCTTAACTTCCTACTGAATATTTGCTGTGGATTTCGAACCAGCAAGCTACTGAAAAATGAGTGTTTCAAATAAATGAATGATTACTGAATTAAGAAATACGTCATCCACTTTTTCTGTTACCAATGACTGTAAATGTGACATTTCCAACACTGAGAGAATCTGGTCCCATAATTGGAGGGAGAGGAAACACAGTGCCAACAATTCATTAAACAAAAAAAAACCAAAAAAACAAAAAGCTTGCAGAACCCTCCCAAATAATAGATTTTCAATAAAGTATGTGCAACAGGTTTTATTGGTGCTTGTTAGCAATGACCTGCATATGTCATTTGTATGAATATGGCCCTATGAGATCCATGGTGATGAGACACATTTCACCACGTTGCCCCTTCTATAGACTCTATTTATACACGAGGATGAATGAATTGACAAGACAAGAGGTGCGGCATATAGATTTGATATACTGGCATAAATTTAGGATGATCTACATTATTCATAAGTACTGAAGCCACAAATGAGATATGTAACAACATCCAAAATGAGTGTCAATAGAATCTGTTCCCGCAGCGCACCATCGTATATTCCTATCTGTCACATATTCCTTAGAAATTTCTCCTTCTAAGAAATCTGGTGTGCTCAGTCTGGAAAGCAACGTTGCCTTGGGATCTGTGATAAGACTTGCCTGGAAGAACAGGCTTTCAGAAAACTGTCTAAAAAGGAAGTGGACAGAAAACACGAAGAATTTCCTGCTACCGAATTATTACCTCTTTTTCCAATCCAGCTGTGCCACAGTTGGGGACCCGAAAGTTATTTGGATCAGATCAATTCCTTGGCGTCTTAAAAACGGCGAAATCAAAACTAAACCAATTGAAATATCACCAGTCCAGCAGGCAACAGATATGACAGACCTGACAAATAAACTAATCCCCAGTCTATTTTTACAGACTGATGAGGTGGAGGGATTCAAGTCTACACTTTGGAAAACATGTATGAGCTAAAACACTGGATATTTTGACACTCACTTGTCATTAATGTACATTTTTAAAAGGTTTAATTTATTACAAATGCAGACAGTCCAGGATTTGATTATTCCCTTTACTTCCACAATATCTCAGGCACAAAGCTTGTGTGTGCCTGAATAAAATCTGTTTATTTTCCAGAGAGGTGAAACTGTTCACAGAGCGGTGGTTCTCAGAAGCCAAGAAACGGAAGGAGTGTGCAAAAGAGTGGTATAAAAATATTAAAGATTAATGACCACTTTCATGCCAGATAAAAACCAGAAGCTCTCCACAGCAGTCCTTAACCTCACGTCTGAAAGGGAACTAAGTGTTTTCACCTGCTAAAATCTCAGTCTGGATTTCAGATGAGTAACCTTGACCTGAAAGATTTTGCTTCCTATCTGAACCACCCAATCACTCACACCTACCTCTCTATGTAAATAAATATAGAAGTGTTACTGAACCAAAAGTCATAAGTAAAGTCTTGGTCTGACAAGTAAAATAAAAAATGCTTACCATGTTTAATAATTTTAATTTTACAACACATCAATATTATTTAGGTTTACAACTAGGAAGATTTTAAACACGTTCTTTCCACTAAGATAAGAAAATACATACACAAAAGCTACTTATGGAAGTATCTATTTTATGTCAACTTTATAGCAAGGAAAAAAAGGAAAGGTACCTGGAACTTCACTGAAAGTCTCTCCGAGGATGGACACATGGAAAGGCAGATCTTCCTCTTTCAGCTTCATCAGGACTTTAAAGAAAGTTTCAGGGTCTTTGTCATGTTCCCTTAAAACAAACAGAAATTATATCAGTATCATTTGCTTGTGGAATTGTTTGGGTTTTTTTCATCAGAACAATATTTCTTTGAAATTGTACTTTTGGGGACTAAATGTCCTCAGCGTAATTTCTCTCTTTTCTTTGCTTACACTGCATGGTTGAACATTTTCCTCAACAAAGGATCACAATTTCATCAGATTCTTCTCTCTTGCCTGTCTCTAAACTGATTCACTTCACTCTTCAAATTACCAAGTGAGAAGGACTGATTAACATCTTACTTAACTGAAGGCAAATTGAAAAAATTGGGTAGGAAGAAAACTACTTTTTTTGTCTGTCAAAAATATGTATATGACTTCCATTACAGTTCACCCTTTTTTTCAGGAGAAACAGGTCAATCAAAAGCTTTCCCTAAACACACAGGATTTCCCAAACTGGAATTTTAGGAATCCGTGCTATACTCATGAAAAGCTTCCAATCCATTCAGTGCTTTAGGTAAAGAAAGGAATAAACTACCTACCACAGAGCATTTTCTACCTATAGATTTTTAAGAAGTTAACTGGAAGTTAGAACATAAGAAACTTGTACTTATTTATAATTTCAGCTGAAGATAATATTAAAGGTTTGTATGGGTATGACACTTAATTACATGAAATACAATTCAGGTTTATGTAAAATAAAGTAACCTCTCCAATATGCTAATCTATCTCCTTTACTAGCACAAAATGAGAGGTTCAAAAGGTATCACAAATGATCTAAATTTCCAAATTCCATATTTTATATTAAAAAAGAAACGAGATAATTTCCTCACTCTAAGGTGAATATTATATCTTGCATTTAATTACTCTGCTTTAAATTATTGTATTTCAGACAGATGTGCACCATATGCTTTTAAAATATTTTGGTTTTATTTATTATTTAGAAAATTCCACCTTTTTCCTTCCTGTATTGAGGGCAAATCTATAGCTCAGCTGTCCCAGTGTCTTTCTTCACAGAGTAATTTTGCAGAATGAATCTGTAGGTCTGTGACTCTGCTATATGAAAGATTAATAATTATATCATTCAGGAAATCTGAAGCCGAATGACATCTGCAGCTCTACACGTGTTAATTTCTCATTCAGTCAATATTTTTGGTTCAGGGAATTAAAATAAATTAATCTTATAATTAATGTGACTTCCCTAGGCTGAGAAACCTTCAGGAATTGGGGAGCTTTCAGAATTAGTAGCATTTTCTTAAAATAAAGCCAGACAATAATCACTTTAAGAAGTCCTCCATCCCCCAGATTTGTTTTGTTCCCAGTAATAAGGAGGAATGCAACTGCATAAGCTCCGTAATTTGTTTCACATCTGTGAACCAGGAGTCTTCACGGCGGTTCCAGTAACTGAAGTGGATACGAGCACTGGCTTGGAGAGTGGGTTTCTCCCAGTTGCAAAGATCCCAGATCTTTGTCTATTGGTTTACTGCAGCCTCTCTCCTAAAAGAGCCACCTGTTTCTGGTAGGTAACTTCTGTGCAGAAACATTCTGCCAGTGTTCAGTTCCCTCCAAACGCCCAGCTCGTGGGACACGGGATCGCATATACAGGATCTGGATCTGGCTGGAAAGGAACATCCCTATTGCAAATGCTTGCAAGACAAAAATGGCCTCGATGCTGGGAGTCAAGTGAAATTCATCACAAAGTTTCCCCCTTAGCCTCAGCTTGCCAAAGACAGGCTCTGTGGGTGCTTTATATGTGACGCTGCGAGCCCACCCCGGATCCGCTCGTCCCCATGGACCGACGCGTCCCTGAGCCGGCAGACTCCGCAGCCACGATGCCGACAGAGATCTTTCCAAGCTCTTCACAGCCCCGCTATCAGCTTCACAGTCACAAAAAGTCCTTCCAGCAAAGGATATGCTTTCCCTCTCGCTTTCCAGAAGAGACCAGGGGTCCCAGAGGCAGCCAAGAGTGGAGGATGCTGTTGGAGCCACATTGTCAAGGAGCTGGCAGGAGAACACGGAGCCTTACAGCTCGGCGAAGCCACATAAGCTGCACATATTTAGGAAAACTGATAGGAATTGGAAGTTGCAGCTTTGTTTAATAGGTGGGGAAGAACAGAAGGAAAATTTGGCACCCAGAAGGAATGCTGAAAGGGGAAACGTTTCCTCTGCACTGGAGGCTCTCTTATGGGTTTTCTGCTGTAGGTGAACATCCTTCCATACCCCCATTTAAAATATTTCACTTTTAGGTGATACTCACAGATTTTAATTATATATTTTGTGGCTCTTATAGCTTTTCAATTTGAGAGCTCATCTGATGTGATTTATTAGTTCCTGTGACTTCTCCACCCCACAACTCATTTATTTTCAGTAAAAAGACCTCCAGAAAGCTTCTAGTCCTTGCAGCTACAGACTGCAGTGTATTATTATTCTTGCAGGTTACTACAGGTAACCTGCTCCTGGTAGAAAGCAATAAATAGTACAAGACCACCTCTTTGCTGCATCAAAAAGAAGAGAGCTCTGTTTCTTGGCTGACATGGAGAAAATCATATACAATCCAGTCTGCCTTACTCAGCAACAACTGCTAAACACACCAGATTGCCATAGCAGTGATCGTGGAAAAAGATGAACACAATATGGAATGTCTGTTCTGTAAAGATCTGCTCAAAATGATGTGCACTTTTGGCTGCATCTGTTGCATTTTTGAGCTTTATTAAACAGTATTAATTATATATACTCCATTTCCCGAAGAAGAACTGCAAAACAGTATAAAAGCCAGGTATTAAAATGCAAACTTTTTTTTTTTTTTTTAAGGATATTATGTTTAGGGAAAAATCAAGTTAATGTGACTCCAGGGTCTGGCTTTGTTGTTCAGTTGAGGTATTTGAAATGTTTTTGTATTTTCACTTGATTTGATATGCATCTGGTAAAGGAATAATAAGAATTGGGCATGGGATGAAGATGCTCTAAATTTCATTGTAAGAACATGAAAACACCAGAATGACCAAGCTCCAGCTGTAAATGCCCCAAAACAGACACAGACACCATACCTACACTCAGATTTGAGAGCCCTGCCTTGGAAACATTCCATCTCCTTGTTCAGATACTGCACATTACATTTTTTTACCCAGGATTTTCTATTTTTGAATCTAAAACACCCATTTTAAGAGAGAACTGAAATCTCTCTTGAGAACTGGTTGAGGTTTAGTGATCTGGGCAGGGGAACATGGCTCAGGGTTCAGCCTGATTTAGTGACTTTCCTTGGTAATCTGAAAACTTTGAAGAGTGCCCTTGAATGGGGAATGGGAAGGTGGTGGGAGCAGCAGCACCAGTGCTGAGCCTCCATTATCTCTGCCTTCGATCCTCTGTTCATATTATGGGCGTGACAATATTATTTCTTCACCACAGAAGGATGCTGTCAGGATTAATTGATGACTTGACATCCCTCTTTTCAGCCTAAAATGATTTTAAAAAGCAGTTTCATAGCACTACGATGATGCTCCTCTATACAATCAATGGCAACAGGCTCCAAAACACCCTTCTGGTCTTCAGGGATTTTGGGAATTCAGCCTGAGCCCTCGAGCCTCATCCACTGCTAGGACAGGAAGGAGAGTACATGGAGACCAGCTAAACTGGAGTTTTTCCCTGGGGACGTAAGATACCCAGTGATGGAGAAAAACATTGAAAAAATATATAAAAAAATTAGCAGAATTTGGCCCTTTACATTATTCAATGCATATTCATCTCCTGAATTCACTAAGAGACCCATATGGTCGTCTCTGATTTTAGTTTAATTTTTTAAGTATATGTAAACTTATCCTACATGGTGATAATCATAGTTATTTAGGATTTGGAAGAAGGCACATCTAGCAGTGCAATTAGGAAGTAGAAGAGTTGTGGAAAGGAGGCAGGACTTGCTCAAAGGATAAAATAAATGCAGTATATTAAAGAAATGTATTAAAACCTGGGGTTAATGTATTTAATCAGTAACATAAAAGTGCAAAACCAGGGGAGAAAGCCTTAATATTTGAGAAAATACGATTTACTACATATAGTATGCAATGCCTGTGAAAGCAACAGCCCTGTTGTGACATCTCTAAGAATCACAGAATCATTTAGGTTGGAAAAGACCTTTAAGACCATTGAGTCCAACCATTAAGGTGCTACATATTCTGAAAGGGTTACAAATAAGCTCAGCTAAAAGCAATATTAAAAGGGTTGATCTTAATCTTCTTAGGACATTTAGCATGGGAGATTTTTCAGCAGGAGAGAATCCCAAATTGTGAGGGCATGCAGTAATATTTCACGTTGTACAGGGCCTGAAATCCAAGCAGTTCATACTGAGTGCATCTCCTCCTGCCTCCCCATTTCACAAAATGACCTGAATGTCAGATGGGCAAAGGTGGGAGATGGCATAAAACCTTCAGAAGATGAAGTAACATTTGAATTTTTCTAATTTTAAAATTTTTTAGGACATGCAGCAAGAGCTAAAAAAGATTGATTTCTGCCTGCCTACAATGATTGCTAGAAAATAACTGGTAAAATAGGCCACTGAAGTACCACTCATTATTGAGGAGGCTGGGCAGGAGTTGTGGAGATCAAAGACAAGAGCCAAGAGGCCTCCAAGGAGAAGAGAAGGGGACAGAGGACATCAACCAGGGAAAGGCACGGCTGCAGGGGAGCACAGGGAAGGTGTGAGGGGCAGGGATGGGGGGGGCCAAGGAAGCCCATGAGCAAAGAACCAAGAATTAAAAATTAAGGAAATGATGTTTCAAAGACACAGACATTGGCATGAATGATACTGGTCCTTTACTTCTGGGAAAGTGAAGTAGTGAGGTGTGAGTTTGGCAGCAACAGGGCAGAGGAGATGTGCATAGCAATGTGAAGGGGAGGAGAACCACTAGAAGAGAAACCAAATCATAAACAAATACAAATATTCCTAGTGAAAAGTAAAAAAAAATATGGCATATCCAAACCCAGGGAGGAAAAGGATAAATACAGGGCAAACAGAGGAGAAAAAGGAAAAGGCATAGGATT